AAAATATGGGAAGTTTGATCCACTTGTGTTAGCAAGTCAAGCTATTCAAGTTTATTTTAGCAAATATCCTAGTGGTCGTAGAGATAAACAAGATTGGCTAACTGTCATAAAAAGCAAAAGCACGGGGAATAATTGATTAACAATATATTATAGCAACTGCACATTAAGAGGATGAGATGTCAAGTTGTAGGCCTATTGAAATTGAGGAGATGCCAACTACAACCTCTAGTATTAAAATACAGTTAGAAGATGTGAATAGTTCAACTAGCTCAGGTGAAGATGAGAATGAGGGTGGAAGTGAAGATACCCTGGAGAACAAAGAATATAGTTTTAATTCTGAATAGTTTTTGTAATTTAGAATTGTAGTTTTTATAATTTAGAATTATAGAATTTTACTTTTTATAATATTTAGAATTGTACATTTTGAATGAGCAATGAAATGTTAATTATTTATTTGTATTCTGGCATTCTTTATTTTTGTAATTCATTAATTGCTTTACTAATTACTTTTTTTATTTATATTTTGTAATATTTAGAATTATAGAATTATACTTTTTATATATTACAATACTTTACTAATTACTTCTTTTAATACAGATGGCTTCAGGTGATGATCCTCCTCGTAGATCATTTTCCTTAAAGTTCTCTAGAAAGAAGTTGAGTGTTAATCCCAATAAACCCATACAGCCTAATAAAGGTGAGAGACATAGATCAGTTCCACTAATAATACCTTCACCACCACCACCTAGGTGTCAGCAATAGTCCCCGAGTGAGTATGGTCAGGTCCACCTGCTATTGTACCACCACCCTTGCCTAGCTACTTCCCTCCTCCATCGATGGTTCCTCACTTTCCCTCTCTAGATCAGGCAAATGTAGCTCTATTCTATCCAAATTACCCCCCACCATCATCACAAGCAGCAGGTCCATCCACTGGTCCTCACCCTCCTTACCCCTGCCCATATTATCACCCATATTTAATGCAGCCAGAATATGGTGGACCATCTAGACCAGTAGAGGTTGGTGTTGGGGATCATGCAGCTGCATCAGATAAGTGTCAGTACATTGAGGCTGAGGGTGATAAGTAAGTTCAGTTTAAGTTATTAAGTTGATTTTATTTTGATATATTATATGTTATTGACAAAAAAATTAATCTGTAGTTTCAATCATTCAAGGCCACATACTCACAAGATCCGGGATATTATAAAGAATATATATGATACTCCTTACTTATCATGGAAGAAGATCCCAAACGAGATTAGGAATATGTGGTTTGGAGAATTTCAGGTATACTTACTTGGTATGAATTCAAATATTTGATTTAATTTATATTAATCTTTTTAGTTATGCCTAAATTTTTACATAAAGAATTTAGGTGGTTACCTGAGCATAGCACGAGGATCCGAACAAATTTTGAGAGGAGAGGAGCGACCCATCTCAGGGATATGTTCACGGACATTAAAAAGTCCGGGAAGCATCCAATATGGATTGGAGAGGGCATATGGGCTGATCTGAGTAGAGCATGGGCGACCTCTGAGTTTACAAAAGTAAGTGAGCAGAATAAGCATAACATAGCCTCTAACTGTGGGGGTTTAGGAAGCTCTCTTCATACTGTTGGATATGTTCCTCATACGAAACATAGACGATGACTTGTAAGAGTTTTAAATTAGTTTATTAAATATATTTATGTTATTATAACTATATCTTATATTTTTAGAAAGAGTTCCTGAGTCAAGAGTCAATACCGCTAGAGTTGCATACAATAACTCATCAACATCAAGTTGATCATCAGTGGGTTGATGAAAAGGCTAAGAAGGCACATGTGAGTATAATTTTTTAGAGTTTGGGAAATAAATTTATTATAATAAAACTAATTATAATGTTATTATATTTTATGAATTTATTCTCATAGGATGATTTTGTATGAGCTCGGGAAAATTGACAGTCCACTAGTGATGGGTCATCTTAACGATCAACCAAAATTTCTAAGTTTCATACATGCTCAGATGTTGTTGGAGGAAGATAGAGGGGGAGGGTATATGGCTTTGGTTCACAGGGCTATGCTTATGAGGGCAGTTCATCCACCTCAGCATTTTATGATCCAAGTTGAGCTGCATAAATTATAAGCCAGAGGGTTGCAACGCTGACTAGAGAGATTGAAGAGACGAGAAAGGTTCAAAATGAAATGCAAGCAAAGCTGCAATCCTACAGAGCTAAAAATTAAAGAAAGAAAGAGCATGAGACAGGGCAGTCACATGCATCTCCAGACAGCGACCATACAACTGAGTATTAGCACTTTTTTATGTTTGATGAATTTATGATGATTTGATTGTAAACTTATTTGGTTGAACTTATTGAACTTAGAACTTGTGAACTTAGAACTTTGGTTTGATGAACTTGGTTGAACTTGAGAAGTTAGAATATATTTATTTTCTTTGGTTATATTTATGATAATTGTTGTGATTGATTATAGTGGTGTGTTGCCCAAAATTATGGCTATTGTTTTATGTGCAGGTTTAAAGTTTAGGGTGAAAATCCCTCAAATAGAGGAGATGCTATCATTTTTTTTTCAGATGCTACAGGTTTGTAGATGTTAACCAGCGCTTTAGCCACCAGAAACATTGATACCAGACGGTTGATTGAAACCACCGGAAATCCCTTATAACCGCCTATATTTACCAGCGGTTTACTGATGGTGTCCGACGGTAGTTCGGTGGCACGCCGGCAGCTACAATCGTCGACAATTCCTTCGGTTATGACCGCCGGTTAGCCGCCAGTAAGTTTCTCGATCGTCTACCAGCTGTCGAACGATGGTATTTTTACCAGCGGTCGCACGGCCGGGAAGCCGCAAGTAAATACATCGGCGATAACTTACGGTCTAAACCACTAGAACACCGTCAGTGAAACAAACTGTTAGAAAAATATCAATCACAAGTAATGGTTTTTGATGCCATTTTTTTGTGGTTTGAAAACCACCAAAATGCCATCAATTTTTTTCATAACCGCTAGAAAACATACGTAAACTGCAGGCAAAAACCATCGGTAATGAGTAAATTTCCTGTAGTGGTCCTAAATCTAAATTTGGACACTGGACCATAGTTGTTCAAACCTAACTAATGTAGTGCAAGATATGGACTTACCACGGCCTGAATTGGGGAGCCAGCTAACCCCCTAATCAATTTAAAAAACATGAGTCCGATCTTTTTATGAAAGAGTGGTCGGGATGTTTTCTTTATGGTTTTGGAGAGTTGGGATCTAGATATTTTGCTAATTGGACCCTTTGACTTATGTTGGGTGAAAAATGCTAAGGACTAATGCAATTAAAATTTTAACTCTTTTAAAAGTATTTCTAATGCAATGCATGCTAGTCTGTAACTTCAAATTATGTATGCTTGAAAGTTAAAAATAAGCTTAAAAAATAATTTTTTAAGAAGAATGGGCTTCCCCAGGTCTAGCACTTCATCCTCATAGGTCAGATTATCCGGACTCTACCCGCAGGCGGTGAAGGGTCTAAAATAAGGAAAGAAGGAATGCTGAAATATGCATGCTACCCCGAGGCGATCTCCGGCAAATTCCCTGGATTCATTATCTTTCTATATTATTTACCATGTTAATTTTTAAACTTTTTGATTTTGAGTATAAAACTTTTCACACCCTTATGAGCCTCATGTATCCAGGAGAAAATAAAAGCGGCACACAAATGCCAAAAAAATAAAGAAAAATAGGCAATTCTATATACAATCACATCAACACAGAAATTATAAATGAATTAATTAATAAATGTCCATAGGTAAAGTTCCTTGCTTATTTAAACCATGGTCTGCAAAAGGTAAAGTGGCCGGGCGCCACTAACAACAACCTAGATTCTAATCCTAATAAAGATGTAAGTGGTTTTAAGTGGGATACTTCTTATCTTTAGTTCTTCAGTCCTCTCCTTCTTCGGGCTCCTTAGATCCTTCGTAGTAGGCTACCCAAATGAAAAAGAGTACACTCCCTTTAAGAAGAAAGCCACTCTTTACTCTTTGGATCAGGAAAAGGTGATTCAAATTTGGATCTCCAAATAGAAAAGTACTATTCCCCTAAGGGGTGTACTTTTATCATTGAAATCCAACCTTTGGATCTATGTATCCCAACTCAAAACTCCACTTTCACAAAACATAAGTCTTGCACAAATTACATATAATATGAAATAAAATTCTAGACTCTCCTACAGCGTTATCATATGCATTTAATAAATCAAAAGTATTCCCAAGCAGTTATACATATGTGTAGAAAAATAAATAAATACACTGGCCAAGCTCTGTTTATTATTTGGGGGCTTAGCAATTGAAGCATTTGTGCAAGCATATTTATAATTGATTCTTATTAAGCCCCTTTTTATTGCCCTGCATAAGCATGGCCACCTACAAAAAACTCAGAGAACATCCAGATTGTTCCTATCCTAAGGGTAATCTAGTAGCCAAATGCATCAATCATCCACATAGTGCAGAAAAAGTAAGCAAACATAGCAAGTATAATCATCCGAAACATGTAATAAAATCACGAAAAATTTAGCACATAGTAGAAAATTAATCACCAGCCTAGCCTAGATCTGTAGTCGGTTGTCCTAGTAAACCATCTAAAGTGTGTGTAGAAGATTATGTGGTTGGGGTAGATCCTAAGTTGATTAGGTTTTTTTTTTTTTTTTTTTTTTTTTTTTTTTTTTTTGAGGAATGCTAAGAACCAATATAAATGAAAACATCAAAGAGCCTAGATACAAGCTAATGAGAGACTACCACCCTATCACTTTCTTCCTTTACAATTTTAACAAAGGAAGAAGGAATGTTGCCCTCACAAAAGAAATCCCAAACAAAATCAAATGATAAAGCTAAGTTAGCATAGTAATCCACTAACTTATTACAATTATGCCCAACACAATTAAAAATAACATTATTGCAATTGCTAAAAAATAAGAGATCCTCATCTTCCAAGTTCTCACTTACTTTCTTCGGTTTGCTATACAATTATTGAATAAGCTGGAGAACATTTTTATTATCACCTTCCACAATAATACCTTTAGCCCCTTGTGTCCAACCTTGCAAAGCCTCCTTCAATGACTTGAAAGTTGAAAGTTCCATTTGTGCTATGTCCCAATGCAATCTTCCATGTCCAAAAGCAATAACAAACCTTCCTTTATCATCTCTGACGACCTGTCCAATACCTGCCTCATAATTCTCTTTAAGAGATGCATCAATATTTATCTTTAACCACTCAGGTGGAGGGGGATGCCAATAATTTGAGAATAGTCCCATGGACTGATAAGCATCCCAGTGATTTGAGTGGTACACACCATATTTAGCCGAACTACAGAAGCTTATAACTGAAACCACAATCTTCACAATATTGCTTCCAATTTTTCCATGTTTAACCTTGCTTCTATTAGTCCAAACAAACCATATTAATGAAGAATGGATCCTTTCCATCAGCACATCCTCATCTGCTAACCTCTTAAGTCCCTTCAAGCAATCTTCCAATTATAGAATTCTAGAATTCTGAACCCCCAACCTCTTAATACATTACTGACTTTCAAAAGAATTGAACAATTAGAAGTGATATGATTGAGATCTTCAATCACACCATATCCCATAGGACAAAAGTAGTTTCCTGAAATCCTTCTCCTATACAGAAAATCTTCAGTTGGGATTTCATCTTTATAAATACGCCATAAAAACAATTTCACCCGTGCATTTATCTTTAGCTTATGAACCCAAGTTGCCAGCTCCCCTATCTTTACATTCTCAAGCCCATCTTCCATTAATAATACAGAGATAGACTTACCAGTCAATTGAAGCTTCAATTCCATATAGTCTTCCATCAACGAATTGAATATCTGCACTCGTCCAATCATCCTCACAAGATCTTCATCGAAGAACTATATTAGTTTCATGATGTTCCATTTTCAATCTTCAATGAAGAAGTCAAGAGCCAAATTTTCATCATCAAATCTTCCAACAAAGGTTGGCCATTTAAGTAAGCTCTTGTCCAAAATCCAAGCATCCTTTAATACATTAATGTTGGATCCATCTACCACTTTCCACCTTACAAACTTTTTAAGAGCTTTCAAACCACTTGTTATGATCTTCCAGGAAGGAGATCCACCTTTAAACTCTTCCTTATTCCACCACCTTTCACCATATTTAGCCAACAAGTTCCTTTTCAACAAAGAATTTGGTTCTTCCAATAGATTCCATGCAAACTTTTCTCTAAGCAGCCCTATCCTTGCCAATGCAGATTAAATTCCCCATCCACCACATTGCTTCAGTCTACACAACACCTCCCATGCCACATAATTCATAACATGACTTCCATCCATTTTATTACAAATGAAGTCTCTACAAAGTTTTTCAAACTCGTTTAAAGTCCTCATTGGAATAAGAGAATGAGAAATTAGGACTGCTGGGAATGCTAGAAGGATTGTTTTTACTAAAACCAATTTTCTGGCTAGAGAAATATATCTATTTCCCTAAGCATTCAGTTTTTCCATAGATTTATCCAATAGTATTTGGAAATCAACCTTTCTTAATCTCCTTAGAGCAATTTTAATTCCCAATTTCTCCAATTCTTCCACAATTTTGAATCCCAAAATCTTTAAAATTTGAATCTTCCTCCTTCTCATAACAGATTTTCCATAAATTAAGGATGATTTTTTATGATTAATAATTTGATCGATCCATTAGCAGTAGTCTCTAACAATGTTCCTCACCATCTTTACATTTTTTATTTTAGCATCTATAAACAACAGCACATCATCTACATAAAGAAGATGTGTGATCCATGGAGCCTTGGAACAAATTTTTATTCCCATATCAAATCCTCTGCTGAAGAAAGCTTTGGATAGCAACAGTGAGCAAATAATGACCAAGAATGGAGAGAGTGGACATCCTTGCCGAAACACACTCCTTCCCTCAATCCAATCTGATCTAGCCCCATTGATCAAGATAGAGAATCTAGGATCCGAGACACATTCCATTACCAGTCCAAGAAATCTAACCAGAAATCCCAACTCAATCATCATCTTCTTCAGTGTTAACCAACACATACTGCATATGCTGGTTCCATGTCCAATTTGATATCCAAATACCCATTGCTAGCCTTTGAATGCCTTAATTTACTGAATATCTCTTGGACTAATAATAGATTATCAGAGATAGATCTCCCTTTCACAAATGTCACCTGCTCTTTAGATATGATCTTCAGAATCACCACTAGCTTTCTATTTAAAATCACTTTTGCCACAATCTTATAGATAGAATTGCATAAACTAATGGGGTGAAATCCAAAAGGAGTTAAAGGATTGGTAGACTTAGGAATCATCACAACAAAAGTATCTTTCCAATCCTTACTTATCTTACCCAAAAAAAAAGAACTGTCTCACTGCTCTACCAACATCCCCTTCAATGGTCTCCCAATAACTTTTGAAGAAAGAATAAGTTAACCCATCACATCCCGGAGCTTTATTATTCCCCAACCTCATAACAACCTCCTTAACCTCAATCACAAAAAGCTCCCTCTCCAACAAAGCCTTATCATCATCTCCTAGAACCATCCACAGTTTTAGCCAATTTTCCAAACAGCAGTTTCTATTTCTCCATTTATTTTGAAAGAACCTGTAAAATATTTCATCCACTTGCGGAGAGCAAACCATCTAAATTCATCACTTGAGAGACCTAATTAATATTCTTCCTAGAATTGGCAAAAGCATGAAAAACTTTCATGTTGTAGTCCCTTTCTTCAACCCACTGCACCTTTGCTCTTTACTTCCACCAAGTATTCAAGCAATTAAGATTGACATTCAGCTCCTTAACTTTCTATCTAAGCAGCCACAATTTCTTTCCTTCCAACCAACCGTCCCTAACTTCTTCTTCCTGAAGTTGTAAAATTTCAGCATTCAATCTCTCCTTCTCATTTGAAAATTCCTTCAATTTTAACTTACTCCAATAATACAAATCTTTCAAAGTTCTTTTACACTTCTTGTTAACCACTTCCATGTCAACTCCCACATAAGTCTTCTTCCACCCACTTGAAATAATATGAGTCGCTGTCTTAAAGGATAGCCAAACATACTCAAACTTAATGCATCTCCCCTTCCTTATAACCACATCAAATAATTTCAGCTAAATATCTCACCACCGCAATTTGGATACTATCTATAGCAAGTTGGGTTGTTAGTTAGAGTTATCTAAAGTTATGAATTTGTTAAGGCTTAAAGGGAGGTTTAGGTTGGAGTTTAAATATTAATATATTAAGAATTTATATAAATATATTTTAAAGGTTAAATAATTACTACCTTTATTTCACACCGAGGCCGTAAAGTTTATTTCACCTTCCTTCGTCTTAAGCTAATAGCCTCGTATGCTTGGGTTGCCTACCAGTAATCGGGGTTGATTAAGTTAATTTAATTGGTTAAGATTAGAGGTGGATTAATATTAAAAAAAGAATTAGTTATTAATTTTAAAGGATTGATTGAGTTTTTTATTAACCAAATTAGAAAATTTTGGAATTTTAATGAATTATCGTATTTTAGGAATTATCTTAATATCTTACTTAAGGGGTTAAAAGTTGACTTTTAAAATTAAAGTTAATATTGATAGTTTTAAATTTTTAATAAATATTAGACATCATTACAAGTTATTAGACTATTAGTACGCTCAATTTGGAGTTTTCTGTCAAACGTTATGAATTTTAGAAGTTTTAACCCGATTTTGACCTAAGGTTGACCAAACTATTAACTTTTTGACTTTGACCAGATTTTAGGGGTTTCATGTTTTTAGAAAATATTAGATTTTAATTTGAGACATTATTCTTTGAGTTTGATTGATTTGGAATTTTTTATAATTAGTTATGAATTATGGAAATTTGGGATTTAATGGATTTATTAATTATTTTAATTAAGGGAGCTCTTTTTGTAATTTGAACCCAAATTAGTCCTAAACCCTTGAAATCACCTCCAAAGATCAGAAATTATCTAAGGAGAGATCAGCAATTGTTTAAAGAATTTTTGGGATTTTTAATTATTTTTAGTTAATTAAAATGATTAAATATTAATTTTCACTTAAAATTAAATTATGGTATTACATTATGTCAAATTAAAGGGGTTTTAATTTTCACTGATTAAGGATTAATTTATGGTCAGTTAGAGCCATTGGTGCATTTTTTTGGTATTAATCTTGGTTTATTAGAATTTTATAAGGCTAGAGGGTTAATTAAGGGATTAATCTTAAGTAAGTTAATTTTTTTTTTGAAGAGAGCAATAAATGCATTTATAAAATCAAAAAGTCACAAGAACAGACTACAAACTTGATTCCTCCTTCAACAATTTAACAAATTTTGTTATTGCACCAAGTGATACGGGGGCCAATAAAATTTACCTCATGAAAATCATTGATGGTGAAGAATGCTTCCATTTCCTTAGGTCCTTGAGTAAATTTGAACCTTCTTCCTCCTTTTTTGTCTTCTCTTGAAGTGAGACAGTTGAAGTCTCCAGCAACTACCATCGGGTCTTCAACAGATGAATGAATAGCCAGCTTATCCCAAAGTTCTCTTCTTTTACTACATTCTTTGTTTGCATAAACTGCAGCCACTCTCCATTTATTGTTGTTGTTGAACAATAGGTCTCCAATAATACATTGATTGGAAGAATCAATCATATTAAAAACAGCTACATTAGTATCCCATAACACAATTATGCCACCTGATAATCCATTAGAGGATATCATAGTATAGTCCCATCTATCTCCAATAAGATTATTAACTTCTTTCCTATCAATT